CACACACACTCGAACATGTGCTTTAAAGGTGTAATCCGTAAGATTTTTAACATGTTAAACCCAATTTTTCATCCAATTTTAAGTTGGTCATTTATCCAACAACAACCATTCAATATGTTCTTATTTTGTAGCTGTCATTTAATTAAAACTGTTTGTTTGTTGGTTTGTTTGCTGCCCCTAGTGGTTCATATTTGTCTTGTTTTAATGGATCACTGGGATCTGTATTATTCAAGCACATTTGATATTTACCACAGAACCAAAACAACCCGGACAGAAGTATTAAAAACTGCATTAATTAGTATTTTTGGCTACTTGGAACTTGCAACAACTCTTAAATGCTGTTATAAATCTAACAGACACCTATTAGCATGAACATTTGTTTCATTGTCTGACTATAAAAGGGATACAGCCTTCAGGTCAGAAAAGTGAAGCCAATGCGCTGTAACGTTTCTAACTGCCAGCAGGGGGCGACTCTTCTGGTTGCTAAAAACAAGGTCAAATTATCTAGAAGTCCATGAGAAAACTCTACTTCTGTTACTATCACTATGAACATTTTCCCAATGGGTTTATGGTCTCAAAGGCTAGTTTCAAGTCTCCTTCAGTGCAGCATGATGCTTAATGAGTTAAAGATGGTTCTATTTGGAGTAGAACAGACAATAAACAGGGTGTGTTTTAGTGCGGGGCTACGTTGTGATTGAGGTGTTGCTACTGGGTGTCCTCAGTCAGATCCACACTTCACTGATCCAATATATGCAAATTTGCATTCATTTGGGATTTAGTCCGTGTGAATATATTCACTGTCCGTTTAATTAATCTGCGCCATCTCCTGGATAAATGCTCCACTATGCATTCACTTTGTCAAAACGTGTACAACAGAGGCTTTAAAATTCACTATTCAAAGGTCTGCATTTGATTTTTTTCAAGGTCGTAGGTCAGTTGGCAATAAAACGCTTAATCAACTCATTTATAACTTTTAGGCAACGTACATTCAAGCTCAAGATGGTCATCAAGGTCGAAATACCTTCATGCTTAGTGGGGGAAAATTGTGCTGCTTAACCCTTTTAACACAAAGTAACTTTGGCTTGAATTACCAGTGATTTGTGCCAATATGCCAGAGTCCTCGTCAGGATTCCTTTACAGCGTGCCACAGGTAAGGGTCGCTGACGGAGGGCGGAGAGGGTTGTCGTCGTTGTCGTCGACCTGGGGGTGGGGTTGGGGGACTTAGCGAAGGCTGCTAGCGGTTAGTGGCGAATACGCTAGCGAATAGCAGCGTTAGCAGCGAAGACGACGGTGGCAGAACTCCATTGGTGCTTGTTGTTAAATATTTTCTTGTTACGTACCCTGGAAAACGACGTATCGGCCCGATTTGCAGCATAACTTTTTCAGGCAGCAGCGTAACGGGTCGTTACTCTGTTGTAACGCTGGCGAGAACCCTGTATGCAGTTAGTATTATTATTATTACTATTTGCATAATTTATTTCATGACTGAATCGCTTGTTCACATACGAGGATTCCCACTGCTAGGCAATCAAAATGACTGTAACAGAAAGGCGCATATACCGAAGCCTGCTATACCAGGCTGCAGGGTTGACGGGGTGAAAGCCGCAGACCGGTATAGCGAGCTGTAGTGTTGAAAGGGTTAACTGTAGTCACTTGCATCAGTTTTAAGCTTGAACTCTGATGCATAAATGCACCACAAATGTCTTGTGACTGGGCCTCTGTGAAACCAATGGCCACACAGTTAGTCCATATTTTTATTTGTGACTTTCCCTACACTAGTGGTAGAAACTGTGTTCTGCAGGAAACGAGACACACAGTGCGGCTGCGATTTAGGGGCTGACAGCGAGTTCTCTGGTGTCACATTAATGTGTGAACTTGGCAGCAACAACACAAAACAACACTCTCTCCAGCAGTTAGCATCACCATGACAACAAACGTTGTCAATGATAGGCATATAAGCCACATTAAACACTCATCCACTCATGTGAATAAGCTCCAGCTACAGTGTGTCTCCTCTGATTTGGTTTTAATAGAAAACTCATTTCAAAAAAAGAAAATGTCAAACTTTATAACATAGTGTCTCTATAATGCAAGGTATTTGTTGGATCTGGATATTTAGGCACAGTGCTATTTTGAGTTAAATGCTAATGTGCTAATTAGCTGAAGAGTGCTGATTAGTCTTGAAGGTGTGTGATCAGGTTTTGTTCTGATAGTGGCGCTATAGGAAGACTCAGTTCATCAACAAAGAGATTAAAGTTCATCCAGTGAGGGGCGTTAATGTGTTCACTAATCTTCATGGCAATCCATCCAACAATTGTTGACTCAGAGCAGTAAATGTCAGCCTCATTGTGGTGTTCGAGGAATAGTGTAGAGCCCTCCAAAGTGAGCAGGGTTCATCTGAATGTGTTTAAATATTACAGGTTGGTCAAACGTGTTGGATGAAACCACAAACAAGACCAACATTGGCATCCTTAGAGCCGTGCTGCTGGCATGTCCAAGAAATGGTGATTAGAGCAAGTTGAAGTTTTTTTAATCTCACCTATCGTCACGCTGGAGGCACGAGAAGGCCGAGTTCCTTTACACTCGCTCACTCATTGTCCTTTAAGGGCTATCGCACAGAGTCACTCACTGTGAAACCACCAACACAAAGACAAGAGTGATCTATCAGCCTTCTGCAGCCCTCTACCTCTGCTTAACTTTTCTTATCTCCTCCTCTTCTTCCACCTCCTCCTCCTCCTCCTCTTCTTCACCTCCCTCCCACTGCTTTAACCGCTCCTCGTTCTTTTTTTGGGTCTCGCTGTACCTCTCTGAATTTCCAACTCTCTTTTACTTCTGCATCCTCTTGTGATGCCTTATGATCCTTTTTCTTTCTTTCTTTCTTTCTTTCTTTCTTTCTTTCTTTCTTTCTTACTGTATTGTGTTGTGTCGTACTGTAGTGTGTGTGCGTGCTTTTGCTTTTGCTTTTGCGTGAAATCGGCTGTTTATCATCCTTCTGTTGGAAGAGTCTCTTTACAAAAGGACCGGAATAGGTTTTAAGCGCTGGTAATGACACTACTGAGTTCTACTTTAAATGCAAATTCAGCTCTGGCAGGCTTTTATTCCAGACGCGCTGATGCTAACCGGGACAGTGGAGTGTCCAAACCGCCCCTCCAAGCACACAAAACACACAAACACGTGCACACACACACCTTTCACTGCAGCCCAGCGCCTCCTCCGGCTGTACGACTTTTGACTTTCCCAACGTCCTCCTGTGTGCTTTTTGTTTCAGCCCACACACACACACACACACACACACACACACACACACATGCACTCATGGACACTTGGACTGATACACAAGCGCTGTAGCACACGCAGCATATGTTGCGTTCGCACGTACAAGTCTCACATGCACAAGTGTTTTGTGGAGTTTCTCGGCATCAACAATTCAAAAGCGCTGAAACATTTATGTCATAATGAAGTAAGTAAACCTTCCAGCTTCCCCGTTGTAGGGACGGACTGCTTCTCACTCCAGATTTAATGTCTTTGTCTAGTTAGTCGTCTCACTTTTCTCTCTTGTTTTCAATAATCTATGCAATAAATGAATAATTAGTTGCACAGACTTTAACACACTTTCATACATTCACCATCATCAGCAAGTAAGTTACAGCTGTAAAACTAAACATCTTACCCTCTAAACTTCACTTCTTCTTTTTTTTTTTATCTTTTTGTGCTCACAAATATTTCCCTTTTTTTCAAGCTGGAAAAAAATATTTTTGAGCATCTCTCAGCTCCTGCTTATCCGCACAAAAACAAAAAACTCTGTGAAGACTTACCCGTCATCGCTCACTCTTTGTGTTGAGTCCGTCCGACTCTCTCTTCTCGTTCCTCTCTTCTCTCACTGACCGGTGTGTGTGTGTGTGTGTGTGTGTGTGTGTGTGTCTGTGTGTGTGCGGCGCTTTCTCTTTTTCTTCTCAGGCGATGTTTGACTTTCGCGGCAACGGCAAGGCAGAGTTGAACCTGAAGAGGGGAGAGGTGATCTTCCTGCTGCGACGAGTCAACGCCGACTGGCTGGAGGTAAGAACGGAGAGAGGAGGAAGAGAGCGGGAGGGAGGGAGGAGAGAGAGAAAAAGAGAGAGGAGAGGAAAAAAAAAAAAAGGTAGAGAAGGAGGAGGAGAGAGGCAGGGAAAGAGTGGGAAGATTGGAAGGCAGAGAAAGATGGATGGAGAGCGAGAGAGGGGAGGGATGGGAATAATAGAGGAGGAGAGGTGGAGGGGGAGTGGAGATGTAACAGAAGAAGAGAGAGAGAGAAAAAAATAGAAAGAAACGGGCATCTTGATCAGGACAGTGGAGAGAGATGGAGGTCAAGACAAAGCAATGCCAAGAGGTGGAGAAAAGGATGGGGGAGGAAGGAGAGAGGGAAACGAAGCAGAGGGGAGAGGGGGGAGAGAAGCTGTCTGAGAAGGATGGAGATGAGATGGAAATATAATGAAAAGGGAAAGAGAGAAAGTGAGGGTATGAGTAACAGACAGAATGAAGAAAATAACAAGTATAGAGGGATTTTATTTGTTGAAGCTTCTCAGCTTTCCAACATCTCTTCCAGAAGATGGTCCATTTTACACCCAACTGTGTCCTTTCACCACCTGGTTCAAAAGGGAAGCCACTTGCACAAATGTCAGTTAGAAGTGATGTATTGAACTCAATGCCAACTAGATGATGTGATGTGTAAGTAGGAGACAAGTCAGGCATGTTAGAAGCGTGTGGATGAGTGGAAATGCGGGGTGATGCTTGTTTGCTGGCGCAGTAAACCAAGCAAACAAAGAAGGCTGAGGTGGGTGCAGGAGGCCTGAATCTCTTCCTGGAATCCCATCCTGGATGGGCAGGTATGAGCAGACAACCATCCCAGCTCCACCCCCCACCCATTGTAACTGCAAAACCAGTAGGCAGAGTGAGCTGGGTCGTCACAACCCGTAAGAACATTTGAGGGTCGGTTGTAAACTTAGTCATTTGCTAAAATCTGCAAACCCACAATTTATAACCGCATCTCACATATATATGCTTGAACTCATCCCTGTTTGCAGACACCCAGGTTGGTGTAAGCAGAACCACACGCACGTCCACCCGTCAGTTTTTAGACTGTTTACATGCACACTGGTATGAGGTGTAACCAAAAGGAAACAGGACTTTGGTTGCTGATGACACGATTCAGCAGGTAGCCAGTGATTGCCCAACATCTCAACACTGTAAAAGAGAAACAACACTTCAGTTGATCTTTCTTTTCACAGCTGGGTTTCTAGCTTCAGCCAAGTGCCTTCTGTCACAGCATGAACCTTGAGCAAACAGACTAACACCAAGTTGTTGGCTAACTTGGAGGAAAAACTCCAGCAGAAACCCTTGACTTGACCCAAACTCTCAACAGCAAGACCTCATACCAACATCCAGAAGGTCAAGGAACTGGTGCTGAGTGATCGCAGGCTGATCTGGATGATGGCTGAGTAACTGGTGTAGGGAATAGAGAGTCGGTCAGAACCTTATTATTGGGTGATTTGGGTAGGGAGAAGATTTGCATGAAACTCCGAATACCAATCCCAGCAGTTCCTTGACCTCTGGACGTCCTTTGTTCAAGCATCTTTCTGTGACAGACACTTGACTGGAGCTAGAAACCCACCTGTGAAAAGAAATATAAGAGGTCAATTAAAGTGTTGAGATCTTGTCGAACACTATGATGTACTTCATTACCATGTGGCTGCTGAATCATGTGATCAGTGTCCTGTTTCTTTTTTTAACCCTGGAGCTTCAGTAAAGAAAAAGAAGTGGTTTTGGTTGATTTTTGAGAATGTCATGGTTTCAGACTTGGGAATTTTTGTATTTTTTCACTCTACAAAGTCCCACATGGAAAGCCATTTCAAGTGTTTAGTATCTTAACAAATATAACTCCCACGGCCAATAAATTTGGTGAGGACAGAGACAAAATTGTTTCCAGTAGATTCTCAAAATTTGGCCAAAGATATTTTGCAGAACTTGGGTCCCAGCTAACAAATAAGTGAATGAAGATACGCAGCGATGACTGCTGGGATGGGGTTGTCACGATGGAGGTGAGTGACCTCGAGTGGACAGAAAATATCCACAGGAGCAGGACAAAGCTGAGACTAGAGGAAGCAACGCTATGAGTTGTGTTATCAGATGAAAGTGGCCACAGTTATGACAGAATATTGCTCGACTTGTTACCAGTTGACGGAAGAAAAAAAATAGGTTGATGTCAGAACTCTTCGCCGCTCAGGAGGAAGTTTGTGTTTCTGTTATGTAACTTGACTGAAGCTGCACCCGTGCAGGTCGTTGGCAGCCTCACAAGCCAGGATATGATGTAAACACACAGCAGTATCCTGGTTTCTTTTTGCAATACTCTGCTAGCATTATGAGGTTTCTTAAAACCACCATAAGAGCTTATCGAGCTTTCTGAGTTTGGTTGATTTTTGCAAATACAAAAATGAGATACCCATTCATAACTGGGATGCTCCTGTCAGCATAAACCTTTCATCTGGGCTCATGATAGTCATGATAAAGGAGATATTTTCCCAGTTTGGTGGGAAAGGACTCAGCTAGTCTGCACAGAGCTGACACCTCAACCATCAAGTCGCTAATTCTGTCGTAGCGGATGAATGCTCGTAGTTTGTCTGGGTGTCACGTTGATTTATTTAAGCTTTCTGTCATACATACATCTTTTTATTGAATCTCTTTACTATGCCAATGTAGTAAAGGAAACACACAAACATTTGCTTCACATAGTGGAGCAGTCAGGTTAATTATAGAATACAATAAAATAAAACCGCAGCTTAAAAATAGTGCCATCCCCAGTTGGCAGCAGCCTGCTACAGTGACCACCAAGTACCTTCACTGGTGTGATTGGAAGTGCCCTGCTCTAGTTTCCTTTACGGGAACAATTACTTAATGAACAAAGTGTCCTGATTACACACTGCACGTGTCTCGAGTAAGACTTCCAAAAATGAACATTTTAATTAGCTGCTAAACATAAAAGTGCAACACTGGAATACGGGTGCTGGCAACCAGTCGTCAGAGAAATTGTGCTTTGTCACAGAGTACCTAAAGAAAGGTCAGGAAACGTGTTTAATAAAAATGTGTGAGGTGCTGAGATGGAGTGTGAGAGAGAAGCCGGGAGTGGGTGAGTGGGAGAGAGAGAGAAAGGAGGTGGAAGCTGATGTGGTGGGAGAGGGAGAGAGTGAGAATCAACATGGAGGAGGAGGATGCTCTTAACCTGCCCCTGGCTTTCTACAGGGATCCAAAACCCGTAGCGGAAAACATAGTCTAATAATCCTTATGCAACACTGCAAAATGTTATGTTTTGTTCTTTTTTGGCAACATTACCTCCACGCTAGTAGTAAGAGTTTTGTTTTTTTGGCGGTGGGTGAGGTTAATGCAACACTTACAACTTGTGAAAAGTTGACTGAGTGCCTTTGATTTAGTCAGTGGACAGAGCGGCTGTGGGTGGAAAACGTGACGAATCCAACTGGCATACTGGTGCATCAAGGTAAACGCTTCAAAACCCACCAAAGTGAAGCAACAAAGTAACAGATTCAGTCCCACAGAGAGATTGAGAAACACTCTGATCGGCAGCAGCTGCAAAGCTGCCAATGAGAAACAGGCTTTCAGTAGCAGTTGCTGCAATGATGCTGCTCAGTGGCCAACAGTAAAGAGGACGGCAGAGCTGAGCAGCCGTGAAGTGTCGGTGCAGAGAAAGGTTTTATTAGAAATCAGAGTGTTCTTCTGCTGTACCATAAAGGGGAGCTCAAAACCGGTTTACTTGTTCGTGGAGAGCTACTCGGCCTTTGAAAACAGTAAGAATGAGGATCTGCAGGACCTCTGTGTGGTCTGAGGCTCCGTCCACATGAATACGCTTTCGTTGGAGGTGGATCTTCGTCCATCTCTGTGCATACTAACACACCTGAAAACGCATATGTCTTCACCATTTATGTAAACAAGGCATTTAAATATCCATCCATTATCTATATACTGCTTAATCCTCACTAGGGTCGCGGGGGGCTGGAGTCTATCTCAGCTGACTCAGGGTGAAGGCACCTGGACAGGTAACCAGTCTATCACAGGGCTACACTTAGAGACAGACAACCAAGCACACTCACATTCACACCTACGGACAATTTACAATCACCAATTAACCTCAACATGTTTCTGGACTGTGGGAGGAAGCTGGAGAACCCGGAGAGAACCCACACTGCACGGGGAGAACATGGAGACTCCAGGCAGAAAGAGGTGTCCTCACTGGGACATGAACCGGCGACCTTCTGGCTGCTAACCAGAGATGCTGCTAACTAGAGACCCGAAGCAGAAAATACTACAGATAGAAAACAGCAGTTCCTTAACTGCATAACAGCTGCTGTCATTCGTTGTCCATGGCGAATTAACCATTGATAATTAGGACTGATGTCTTTGTTTTCTTCTGGAAAAAGCGTCAGTGAAACAACACGTAGTGACTCTTATGGCTCAATCAGAAACCAAATGTGAGCGTCTGCATCACCTTTTCCAAAAATCTCTATTTCTGCCCATCCAGACAAAAATGCAAGCTCAGATTTTTCAAAATAAAACAGGGTCAGCATTTCCAAAAGTCTTCACTTTAGACGACCTAAAACACTGGAGTCGTGTGGATGCTATGCGAAAATTATGAGTTTTTTAAATGCAAAGGTATTAGTAGGAAAGCAGTGTTACAGAATTACTCCTAAATGTTTGAATGACCACAGAAAGAAAAAGTATAAATTACAAACTGCTGGTATACAGTTGGACACAAGAGGGGGACATTTTCCTGTCGTGAAAGCTTTATGGGAAGTAAAACGTTGGCAGTATGAAGCATGACCACTGATGTGCACAACCTGGCAATGCAATGCAATTTTAAAAAGTCCTTGTACAAGGAGAAAATGTTCAATCCCAGTCTGAGTGATCGACTTACTGGGCAGGAAACAAGGAATCATATTTGTAGCTGTAAGTCTGGTGACAATCAGAATTTTCTGTCATGCATGCTGTAAATCCATTTGATAGTTTCTGTTACGACTCAGCTCACCAGAAGAAAAAGAAACAAAGAAAGAACCAGATGGCTGCGAGTTAATGTGATTTTAATGAGAGAAAGGCTCATTATTAGACAATAAAACTAAAAAAATTCAACGCAGATTACATGAGAAGAAACATGGGATGGCGGATTCTACTCAAGTAAAATAAATTAAACCAAAGCAGGACTCCCAACTAGAAGGTTTAAACCACTTACTCTATATGGCCAAGATAAGAGCTCAAAAAGTAAAGCCCCTGCTGCCCAACCTGCACTCACTGAGCACCCCGACACCTGCTGTTTAGCTGGACGGCAAATTGTCTTGAACAAAACCCCTTCACCTGCGTCTCATACATGCCAAACAGATGCAGACGTGAGCTTCTTGCACCAGAGCGACAGTTTCCTGAGCTTTTTAAACATCCGACGTGATGACAGGCGTAGCTTGATTGGACGCAGCGCCGGTGCACCAGACCAATCAGAGAGAAGCACGACGGAGTCAAAGAGCAGGCTCCAAGTGTGCATGCTGATTTACATACAAAACCAGGAAAAGGTTAATCGCACAAAAAGGAAAAGGAGCGCAGCGGCCCAGAGCTCTCAATAGGTCTGTCATCTGTTCAGGAAAAGGATGAAACAAAAGCCCTTTGTCTTCAGTTGGCTCGGTCCGCTCCAGGCTTCACTGGCTAGTAAGGAAATGGATGCAATATTATTAGAAATAGTTTCTGACCATTCTTTCCTCAAATCTTTATTTGCAATGTCATGGCGGTTATTTTTACCTTCATAAACTGATACCTGAGAAAATCACACCCACCTGATAACATACAGTTTATCTGACTAAAGTAAACTAAAGCTGCGACCTGATAAATGAGCAAAGTGCCTCCTTGTTCTGCTGTAAACGTGTGAACGAGCCGGATGCTTTGTGAAACCGTCTCTGCATGTGTTTCTGCAGACTAACACTCCCAGACATCAGGGGTGCAGTAAAAAAGCTGCACGGTTGTGTTGAGTGTTCCTAACATCAGCAGCATATTATGAACAGACCAATTAGTTTGGAAAACGTCTCTCTGGATGCACCTCCGGACCTTTTTTTTTTTTCCGTACGTTTCTCTCCCTCAAACCGATCTCATCATCAATCCCTCATCAATCCTCTGAGACTCTGCTCATTTGTTTTCATCCTTCTCTTTTCTTCCTCTTTTCTTCAGGGCACAGTCAACAACCAGACAGGTATTTTCCCAGAATCCTTTGTGAAGATCATTAAACCCCTCCCAGAGAGTGACTCAGAGGGTGAAGGTGGAGGCCACACATACAGCTGTCTTCACTGTTCCCTGCTCACCCCGTCTGGAGTCCAAACCAGGTCTGTGTGACACCAGTGACCCAACAGGTGGAGCTCTGTAGTTAGACACACTTTTTTTTTTTAAATTTTTTTTTTTTATGCAGGAATATGACTTTCAGGTGCTTGAAAATTGAATGTACTCCTTTGATTAGCTGAGTATCATGATGAGGGTTTGGCCCCATGTGAACATAATAGTGTGTAGATGTTGTATTTAACACAACCAACAGCCTGATAGATGTTTAAAAGTTTAGATTTTTACTTTAGTTTACGGGATAATTCTTGTGCATGTTTCTTAATAGTTCATGTTTATGCGATAACAAGTGCAGCTGTTAGAGGGTCTGCTTGTGAAGTCTGTGTATGGAATACGTGTGCTTTGTGGCTTTTAACCATTACTCTGATATTTTTTGTTTTGTTTATTTTTAAAACATTTTTCTCCATGAAATGACATCAAATGGAAAATTTGTGTAATATCTAAATGTATTGTTCAATCCACCATAGCTGTCAGTGTTTGAAAATAGGGGAAGTATTATAGCACCGCTGTCCACATTCCTCTCACATTTAGACAAGGTTTAAAACACAAGGACTGAATAAACCTCCCAGGTGTCCGAAGCAAAATTCTGAAAAGGCACCTCTCTGAATGGTAAAAGGTCTGCATTTACAGTCATCCTCAAATGTATTCAGACCCTTCCAGTAAAGAAAAGACAAAATTCACAACAGTCACTCAAATAACCAGAAACTGAAAAAAGTAAGAATAAATAAAAATTTGCTAAATTATAATTTAGTGAAATAAGACGTTGCTTTTGAATTGTGGTTGAAAAGAATAATTTTAAAAAACAAACAAAACTGACAAATGAGAGCACTTTGCTGATGAGCAGTGGTCCAGAATACCTGTCAACAGGTGCAGAAGTCTGACTGAGAGTTCAACAAAATATTAGTTCATGGGTCCCATCATGCTTGTTTTCCTTTTTTTTAAAAATTAATTTCTGTTGAACCATAATTCAAAAGCAATGTCATGATTTTCATATTTTATTTATTTATTATTACTTTTGTAAATTTCACTTTATTTCAGTGACAGCTGTTTTTTCCTTCTTTAATGGGAGGCTATGAATACATCTGAGGACGACTGTATCTGGAGCCTTTTAGCCTTAACTTGGTTCTACAAAGCGCTTAACAATGTCTTTCTCATTCATTCATTTCCATTAATCCATTCACACACCAGTGAGCTGCCGACCTGCTATTGGTAGCAACTTGGGCGTCAGTGTGTTCAAGGACACTTTGACACATGGGGAGGCCAGAGATCGGACCGCCAACCTTCCAGCTAATAGACACCTCTCTGTACCACCTGAGCCATGAGCCATGTCAACCACCTGACACTCCACTGCTCCCTCCTTTAAACTCTGAGGAGGAGGAACACGTTTATCTGATTGCTGGAATTCACTCTTATGATGTTTTTTCTTCTTTTTTCCTCTGTTCGTGACCAGAGGGATCGTTCTGATTCGTGCTCTCAGCAAAGTTGTTGTTTGATTTGTGGGGCTGTCACCTGCTTTACTGTAGGGGGATGTAGCAAACACATCAAATGTAATAAAGAAAGGTAAAATAAAGGAGCATCTGGGGGGGCTGACAGGTATGAATTACACTGTTGGGAGCGAACTTTTCTGATGAGCGTTAATTCTATAAAGTGGCTGCTTAGTTTTCTAAATGTGCTTCAGTTATAATGCTGTGTGTTCCTTGTTACTCAGAGACGTGTGTGTTCAAGAGGACCTCACCATCCAGCCGACGTACAAGGACCTGCTGTCTCGCATGAGGTAAAACAAAGATCTGCTGTTCTAGTAGTGCCCGAGGCGTTTTTTATAACCAGGGATAAACAAAGCACTTGATGGACGTTTTAAAATGTGTGTTTTAGGTCATGTTTTTATTACATTTACACCCATATGGGACACATTAACATAGGTGTTAAGAGCTGACCGTTGTTTAGCAGCGCAGGGGGACATGATTGTGTGCAATCTCACGCCTGTAAGCGAATTACCACACCTTCCCAAAAATGTGATAATGACATATTTGATGAAAGCTCGGAGTGAAGGTAATTAAAGTGGACGTAGAATGCACATTTCCAGGTTTATACTTTGGCTCCGTTGGCATACCTTTGCATGATGTACAGGTCCTAAAAATAAATAGCTGCAGTAATCATCTGGTTTCACTTCTTTCTCTTGTTCTTTAATCAAAATGTCAACTTTTTAGACACACATGTACATGTTTGAACCTGAAACCTTTTAGTGTGCACGGCATCCATCTTCAAGAAATAGTTTCTCCTCAGTTTCTTCTCATCGGGTTTCTTTTGTGTTTTTCCCCAATAAAGGACGATTTTAAAGGTTCAGATTCTTGTATCTAAGCCTTTTCCCAAATGAAGTTGTGACTCAATAATCTGACCCTTATCAATCCTAAACCTTGCTATCCGACAGGTTTTTAGGAAAAACGAACGGAACCCATTAAAAACAGCCTTAACATACCGACAGCCTTGGATTGTGACTCCGACATGACATTTAATGTCACCAATCAGGATGACGGCGTATTATCTGACTGAACAATCCCACAGATTGGCTGTGTTAGTGTTCTAACAATACACTAGTTATTATAACAACTATAAACAATAAATATGAACAACTAATTACCCTTCAAGCATCAAGCCCTCCTTGTATCTGGACCTCCGTCTTGACAATCCGACAGCCTTGCTATCCGACATAAAAGAAGGTTTTATTTAGTGTCGGATTATCGAGTCACGACTGTACTCTCCTTAATGAAAAAACACAAATTGTTTCCCGGTTATGTGTGACTTGCGTTGTGCTGCAAGTGTTAAACATGTTTTGTTGAATCCATTTTAATAAATTAGACTTTAAAAGATGGCAATTTAAATCACAAATCTGAGCTTTTGTTCTTGCGTCCATGCGGAGCAGAACACATTTACATATCTGGTGTTTCTTTATAAGAAGAACTGATGAACTGAGCTGATTGCTGACCTTTGAGAGCACACGTTCAGCTTTTCATTCCCGCAGTATTTTGCAAGTGAAGTTACAATAAAATTCCACAACAAACAAGGACGGGAACAAGTCCATTAATTCACCGGCCTGCCCTGAGGGGCAGCACATTTAGTCATTGTGCACAGCAAACCTGCAAATTGCCGGTTGCCAATCATCACCACTCGTTAAATTAGTTCCTGCGGGACCTCCGACTCTGCCCCCATCCTCCCCACCCGCAGTACCACCATCACCGGATGCATATGCTCATTACACCATCGTATCTGTTCTTCTCTGTCTTTTTCTCTTTCATTCTGCCTCTCCCTCTATCTCTCATTATCTGGTAATTTAGATAGGTGAACGCTGTGATGATTAGCCCTCCCCATTCATAATCAGTTCATTTCCGCCGCTTATCTGCTCATTATTGTTTTTTCTGTGTTCAGGCCTATTGTGCCCTGGAGTAGGATGGATGAGACCCTGGTCTTGAGTTTTAATATGGCTTTACACTGATAAAGGGAGGTGGTGGGGGGGAGTAAGGGGAACAGGAAGGGAAGGGAGGTGATGGAGGTACGAGGAGACAGTAAGCAGGAAGAGACAAGAGGGAAGATTGCGTTGTATAAAAACTAGAAAGAGGAAGAAGCATTGAAATGAGTGGAGCAATCGTTGCTAAACTAGCTGTATTAGACTATGTAGTAAATAAGCAGGCTGTACTAGTGGAGTCCAAAATGAAATTAAACCACTGAACAGTTAGAAATGACCTGCTGTTTGTTGCTCCTATAGAGAAAGTGGAGGAACAAATGGGCGCTGAGGGCGTTCTCAACTAGTTACTCATCGTTGTCCGTTTCTTTTGCTTCTTCATCTGTTGTCTTGGTGATTGTTCGTGCAGCTAAATATCATGATTCTCTGTGCAACGTTCAGAAAAGCCTTGTTATTACTGACACCGGTGGCGGTTAAGGGAACTGCAGTCAGCGTCTTGTCGCCATGGACTTGATATAAAAGATGGACATAGCCTCGGGTCTGAAAATTGGAGGTACAGTAGTGACTCGACAATCCGACCCTTAGCAATCTGAAAACCTTGCTATCCAACGGGTTTTTAGGAAAAACGATAACGCCGTATTATCTGACTGAACAATCCCACAGATTGGCTACGTTCACACTGCAGGACTTGATGCTCAGTTCTGATTTTTTTTGTGAAATCCGACTTCTTTTTCCAAGTTCATTCACATTTCCAATTAAATGCGACTTGTATGTGATCTGCTGTGTGAACTTCATACGACCCAAAAGTGTCGCGCATGCGCAGAAGAGGACACGACGACGTCACATGCAGCGAGCGTGCTCAGTGTTTACGGAAGTAAACATGGACGGCGGCGCCGCAGCTGGAAACAGAACTGTGACCGCTATCCTAAACTAGCATCAGCAGCCAAGTACTGCCTGTGTGTTACGGTCACTTCCACCTGAGCGCCCCCCTGGTGTGGAAGTGTTCCCGGACCACGCCTAATATTCGATATTCATCATTAATTGGGCTTGAATATCCAGAGAGCAGAAAGTGCTGTTCAGACCAGCCCTACTAGTTATTATAACAACTATGAACAATAATTAACAATAAATGAGCCTTCCAGCATCAAGCCCTCCTTGTATCTCGACCTCCGTCTTGACAATCCGACAGCCTTGATATCCGACATAAAAGAAGGTTTTACATTTAGTGATTATCGAGTCACGACTGTACCTTAAATCTGCATTCTTTCCAATGGCCAGCAGGGGGCGACTCCTCTGGTTGCAATAAGAAGTTGGATTGTGTGGAAGTCGATGAGAAACTTACCCTACTTCTCACCTGGTTTTTTACTCACATGTGTCTGTGTCGATTGTCAGTCAAACATGTAATCCTCTGTAGTCCTAAATGCTGCAGCAGAAAGCAGCTCAACCAAGAGGCTTTCCCAATTCTACCTGAGTGGTGGGCACTCCCAGGTGTTCTCACCCCCAACTTACATGGCTGAGAGGTAATATGTCCTAAAGAACCAAAAAAAAAAAACAAGTCTACTTGCCATCTACTGAACTTGAGATTACCTCAGTATGATTTTGCTAATGAGCCCTCAATCGCTAGCATGATGTTAATTTCGTAAATCATGGTCCTGTGTGGAGGACAGTAGGCGATAAAGGAGGGTATCTTTAAGGTTTGGGACTAACTTGTGATTGACAGGTTGCTCCTGTGTCAGCATGACTTGTTTCCCAGAGTTCTCAGTCAGAACTGCTTGTCACAGCTTTTTTCAAAACCATAAGATGATGACGGCCAAATTCCAAACTCAAGGTTTCAAAACAGTCTATCGTTTATGTACCGTCCAGACTTGTTGCTGCACTCCTCTGATGAGGACTCCTGCTCTGCCTTGATGTTGGTCACACTCCACTATTGCCAGATGGGCTTCAGTAGATAGAAGTTTGTTTTTTTGTTGTGTTTTTGTGCCTATGCGGAGTTTGCGTTGGGGTCTGAGTTGTGCTGGGAGGTTGTTGTTTGATGACGTTAGCGGACCCTAAGTTATTACTAGCTATGTCGTACTGCACAGTGTTGGCGTTGTACCAGAGCAGAAAAGGCAAAGCACTGAAGCCGAAACGTCACATTCTTTAGATTTTCTCAGAAAATTCGCCACAAGCAACCTGTTAGCACATATATGTAATTTGTTGTAGTTGCCATGACAAGAGGATGCTGCAGTTGATAGATTTGCAAACCTCTATCTCGGTATATCTCATTTTTTCTAAGTCTAGCTGCTGTTTGTCTTCCTTCCATCATTACTGCTTTGCATGCATCTGTAAAGATATTTTTTAAGTATTTGAAGTCACAATCCAGGTTGTCTCACACTCTTTTCAATACCAGAGCAAGAGGGTGTTGATATGTAGTCGTAATTCCCAACAGGTTTTCCTTAGACGTTATGTATCGATTGTTAAAATGAGGATTTTAATCCTTTCATATTTTTCCTGGAATGGGCCTGACACTTCACATTCTTCAATCTTCATAGCATTTTTTTCGAGTAACCTTAGTTTGACTGCTGTGATGTCACGTCGTAGCTCAGGAGAATACAGGAGGGAAGAGAAGCATCTCCGGGGTTTTAAAATATCTGAAGACACTCCTATTCTGAAGTCACTGTCTTAATGTCCTCGTCTCTCTCAGGGATGTCTTCAAGGTGGATGATATTGCCCTGAACTACCGCGACCCCGAGGGCGACCTCATCCGTATCCTCGACGACGAGGACGTCCAGCTGATGATCAAGGAGGGCAGAGGTCAGGAGGGCAAAGTCAAGAGGCCTGTCAATCAGTTTCCGTGGGAACTGCATGTGACCATGGCCTCTGACCTCTCTGTTTACAACACTGATGCCTGAGAGAGGACGGAGAGGGCTGAGAGGAATATGTAGAAATATTTACTATTCTCATATTAGAAAATGAACTTCCCCGTATTGAGTATTACTGCTGATGTTGTTGTTTACATTCATCTAAGCCTGTTTTAGTAAAAAGCCAAAACATTTCACTTAGTAATAAAATAATTTTATAACAGTTTTACATTTTGCTTGACTT